GTTTTCATTTAGATTTTTTTAATCGCTTTCAACCTACGCCTGCATAGCATTTTGAAAATTTGAACTTATTTTAAATTTATGCGGTTCAATAAGAATATTTTGTATATGATCGTAATTTGAATAGCGTGGGAAAATATTCTCATAATTTAAAAATAAACAATTAATTTTTTACAATTTTTTTTAAAATATGTAGATCACATTTTTAAACCTACGTGTGTACATATGTAGCTACATATTTAATTACGTTTATTCTGCGCACTGCAAAGACGTAACCTTTAATTATTTTGCATTTAAATATGAATTAAGAATGCTTTCGTGTTACTTTAATCTTATTTAATAATTACTTTAATGATCATTTCCTTATAAGATCAAAATAAATTAAATATTAATTAATTATAACTGTTTTCGTTAAATTGTATATTAATGAAATAAATTTATTAAAAGTATACTAAATTTAATTTAAATAGTACATTAAAATTATTGGAGGAAAATTGCCCATGAATGTTGAATAATATTTCGTGTTGAGGTTATACAGAAAAAGCCACAAACTGACTTTGAAATCACGTCTTTTAATAGGAGTAACTACTCATTATTTTATATAGCAAGTAGTATTTATATACAATATTGCGCCAAGTTACTTAACTTGAACTGCATTGTATTTTTAAATTAAAGAAATTCTTTAATTGCATGAATTAGCACCCTTTTAAGCTTTTAACCTGAAAATATCATAGATAAAATTATCAAATCAAAAATCTGCTTTGTGATTTAAGTTTTGTTCAGAAAATAAAGGGATAAACATTGTGCAGACTTCGGTGTAACTCTTCTGTCTACGCTCCGTCAATAATCAGTATACCGGTTGTGGCATTTTGAAACTTTTTTGTTTTGATTGTTTTAAAATGTCACTAAAAATGTCCTGGTATATAGTTATAGACGGAAGACTGAATGTATAATTCTCAACACCCTGACTTTTATTTGCCCTAAAAAACAAATAAAATCTCTATTTCATCTTAAATCTACTTAAAATTTTTGAATAAATGCCTCACATACTTATGTGTATACGCATACAACATCTTAATAAAATTAATCTTAAAGGAATATTTTCGCATTACAAAGCACATTTTACAGTGAAATTTCTCGCATTTCATTTGTTATATTTACACACATATGCACATATATGTAAAAATTCCTTATATGTGAAAATTAAAAGTTTATTTATTTTTAATTTTTTTTTTTTTTCTTAAAATGCTAATGAATCAATTGGACACCAAAGTAATATGTTATACGAATATACGATTAATACTTTTTACATTATTATTAAAACGTACAATGTAAGAGAAATTCTTTTAAATACATACATCCATATACCACACCAAACAAAAACAAAAAAAAAATAAAAAACTACACAATACAATATGAAGACGCGCGTCGTCGACGACGGAAATGACAATATTTTTAATGATGACATATGATGAAAGCATCAACAAGTTATTTTATAAAATTTTCTTATTTCTTTTTTCAATTTCCTTATCTTCTTCTTCACTAATTCTTTTTAATCGAATTGTGAAACTTTTACTCACATTTTCAATAAAATAATCTCACTAAAAATTAAAATCTCACGCGTATAGTGTTAAAGTAAATGTGTTTATTTGAAGTCACTTGGTTTTAAAAATAATCAAATAAAATCACGTGCTGATCATTTAAGAAACATAAAAAAAAAATTGTATGTTTTTGGGGGCAAATTTTTTTTCTTTCTTTAATCTCCCCATATTAGGTTTTATTTGTTGTATGCTATAAAAAGTTCATTTGCATTTTACTATGCGTTAAAAATAATATTTTGTTAAAAATGTTTTTTATTTTCTTTTTTTTTAGTGGAATAATGACAGTTATAGCAAGAAAATATATTGCAGTATTGCGTTGAAGAACATTTTGAAAATCACAAGTATGAAAATACTCGCACAATACATATGTACATATCTCGATTTTTTTATAAATAAAGACGCAGTGCTATTGATTCGGTTATCTTTAATAATAACCTCACTACGATCTGCTCAATATTCAAATTTAAAAAATAGATAATAAACTCACAAAACTTAAACAATTCTTAACGTTGTAGCGCAAGCGTGATTTTTTAAACAAGGAATTAATGTAAAGCACATTTCTAAATTACTTTGGAAATTTTTTCAAAACCGAAATATGCCAGCACATAAAACGGAAACACGTGCTCTAAGTTTCAGAAAAAAAATCAGAACTAAACTTTATTTGTTAAATTGCAATTACTCGAACTTGTCAAACCACTCAATAGAAAGGTCACGGATATTAATTTGCCAAATTTCATGAATCTAGCTTTAATTTTTTCCAAATATTTCAAATTTTCATATGGAGTTGTATGACATCTACCCGAACCCGTTGTCCAAATCGGTTCAATTACAATAGCAGCCGTCGTTGGCACAAAAAACACAACTTGTGAAAGTTTGGTGTCGATTTCATTTTTTTTTCTTGAGTTACCGTGCGATCGGACGGACATATATATCGTCTCCAGTATGAACATGTGGGCAAAAAATACAGCTTGTTTGATTGACTTATTGGCGTTTTGCAAATAAACGTTTATGACTTATATAATTTTTAATTTAAAGAGAAATTCAAATTGCAGATGGTTTAAGAAAATGAGAGTTTCACTGTACTTGCATGCAATTACTTAAAATTCAATTAAATTTTCTGAAATCTTTACAAGAATAAAAATATAAAACTACAATTGTACTTGAAAAACCGAACCTAATGCCAAGAAAAGAAGAAAAACATTTAAAAATCATATGCAATTTATACTTTAAATCAATGAAGGCTAATCTTTATATCCGGGCGAATATTTTTAATTTTTTATACACACAACATTATTTAAATATGCAATACACGATTAGATTTCACACAATTTTATTGTTAAAATTACAAAACATTATGAATCTAGATCAAATAAATGAATATTTAAATTTAATTGTTGAAAAAAAAAAAAAAATATTCTGTACATCTTCATCACATTAATTCCAATTTTTTAAGTAATAGTAGAGTGTCATCTAGTGAAAGGAAATAAGATGGCGAAGGTTATAAATAAGATAAAAATAAAGAATTAAGTTGCGAAAGTGTAGAGAGTGCAACTTTCCATTTTCGATATTTTCTGTTTTCATGGATGTACGATGTTAATATCGCGATTATTGATTAATTTTTGTGACAGTACCTATTGTGGTAAGATTAAAGTAGGTTTTAGGTGTGGTATGAAAAAATAACATAGAAAAATGAAATTGTTATACAAATTTAATAATTGGTTATTGCTTTAATTTAATTAATTCAAATTTTTGTCACATTATTGCTCCAATTACATGTAATTACTGTAGTTTTTTTTTATTACTAACTATTACACTATGCACATTTAATGGATGTGCAAACTTTGCAATCGAAAATAATAATTTTTTCAGAAGGATATTAACATCGTTTTACAAAATTATATTGTATACATTAGATAATTTGCTATTTAAGGAACAATAAATGTGGATCCTATTAATTCATAATTTCTTAGATTTAAGAGTTCAATTATAATTTAATATTTACATAATGCGTTACGTTATTTTGATAATATTAGTGTGTAAGTGTCCAAATTGTGACTGAACCCTGTGCAAGAACACCTTCCATTTCATTTAAGAACATCATTTTCAAATTTCCATTCATTATTAACCAAATTTATTTCAGATATTTAGAGCACCATGTAGTTATTTTATTAAAAAACTATTTCAGTTTTCTATTTTATCGATTATTATTGTTATTTATAATAATAAGAGCATCTTTCTTCTTTTAAATAAAACATAATTATTTATTGTTATATAAATCAATATTTTAATTATTATTATTATAAAATTTTTATTAAGCCAAATTTTAAATTTAGGAAAAAAATCTTTTTTTTTTTTGTATACAATGCAAAATTTTATATGTAAGCAAAAATATTTACTTATATTGAAATTAAAGAGGATTTTCGAAAATTCAGTTTTAACTTAGTTCTTAATATAGAACATTAGTATAGCAATAGTATAGCATATTCGATAAATCTTTAGAATTAAAGAAGAACATCTGAAAATTGTAACATACGCTTAAAGTTCTAAAACATTTCTAAAGATTTTTCTTAAATGTTATACAAAAATATTTTAAAATTGAAAAAGAATCATTTAGAAATATGTAAGATACTAAAAATTTGAAAAACTGAATTGATTAGTCCCTATAGATCTGTATACTGATGCAACACACGATTTTTAAAATTTAAGTTAGAACTTTAAGTGTATACATTTGAATTATCGAAAATCTTCTAATTAACATAATATTATAGAATATTAAAATTCTGAAATCAATTCTGAAATGAATTGTTCTAACATTTTATATAAGTTTTTTTTCATAAACAATATTATAATTAATTAATAATTAAAACATATTTGTTAATAATAAACATTTATATAAAATTTTAAAATTTAATCAAATTTATTATACTTATAACAAATATTTAAAATACATATACATATAATAATATTTTTTAATTCAAAAATTTCGTTCATGAATGAATTCTATTCATAATAATTGTAATTAAGATAAAAATTTTAGTTTTTCAATTATTAATAATAATAATTTAATAAATTTTAATATTGTATGTAGAAAACATTTAATTAAATTTTGTTATATTTTGAAAAGTTTCATAAAAATGTCATATAAATTTTTTATATTTAATTTTAATCACAACACTTACAAGCTCACATTTATATTTATTATTATAAATTCTATAAACGTATAATTATTTAATAATAAGTAATAATGATTATATTATATTTATTAATTTTTAAAAAAAGCCATAAAATTTTTAAAACAAAAATCTGGTAATTTAATATGTTTCCAGTCTTTATTATACATTTATATTTTAATTATTATAACAAAAATATTATTTCTAGCAATTCTTGATATTTAAAGGCTTTCATTTATTTTCCAAATATAAAAAAATTTTATTGCTTATTCACAATATTGTTGCAGTTGTTAAAAAATTTGTATAAATCTTTTTAAAATAGGATAATTGATTATATTAATTTTCAAATACAATAATGCTAGTATTGTAAAAAAATTGTATAGTAATAATGAAGTTAAAATAGTAATAATTATTTATTATAAAAAGTAGTACAATATAAGTAATTAAAATGTAAAAGTTCTCATTATAAGTATGGGTGCAATATGTTTTTAGTTTATTATTTTAATCTCTAAGAACAAAACGATTTGATATTCTTGCCCAATTACTTGATCCTTCCAAATTGTATGGTCCACCACCTTCACCCAATGAAAAACTATTAAAATAAATAGCTCCCAAATATGCACTAGCACCATAACTATTTGTTTTCTTACGATATAATACACCAATATCTTTAACATTTACTTCACTTTCAAATGTAACACCATAATAACGTACTTTCCAATTATTTAATAAATCAAATGGTATTCTTATTGCTGTATTTGAATTTTCCATTAATTCTAATAGATCATCATAATAATTATTTTTAATTGATGTTATAAAACATTTTGATCTTTGTATACCCAATGAATTACCATAATCACCACAATATATATAACCATCTTTATTTGGATTAATTGTATCATCTGAAAATCTAAGAACACATTCTAATTCACCATCAAGTTCACGTACTTTATATGCATATGCAAATATAAAAAATTTCTTAACTTTAAAATTTGTTGTAAATAAACGTAATACAACATCCGATTTCATAATTCTTAAACAGCAACCACCAAATACAGCATCATCATAACAACGTTCAGCTATTTCAAATAATGGTACAGATGGTTGTAAACTTTGTCGATTTAAATTAAAAAATGAACCTAATACAACACTACCTTGATTATATGTATAATGGCCGGAACCTAAACAAAAATCCGTAAAAAATGGTTGTTCAGTATATGAATGTGTACAAAAATATTCCCATAATAACCACCAAAATTTTTCATTACGTCTTAAGAATGCATCATTAACATCATATTGTCCATTTGGATTTTTAATATTAAAACCATAATCACGTAATGTTTCAAATGTCCAACCGGGTGCAAATATACCAACAGAAAATTCATTTCTAGCAATTCTTGATAATGTTTCACGACAACGAAATTTTGCAACTTGTCCACGTCCAAAAACATCAATACCAAAAAATACTTTAAAAATTGATTGCCTTTCTTCATGAACCAAAGTTTTTGTATCATTTAAACTTTTATCATTCCACATATAATTGATAAGCATACCATCCGAAACATGAAAATATCGTACATTTTTATCATTGATTTCATTTTGCCAACTTAATGATCCATTATGTAATACGCTATCATACCAAAACACTGCACCATTTGGAATTTTTTGTGAAACTTTAAATCGTAAAGTTTCAATGAAATATCTAAAAAAAATAAGATATTTTAATAGAAATGTTTTGGGAAATTTAATTTAGTAACATTAATTGTTCCTTACATTAAATCATTAGCTTTATCCGTTGGAACATTACATTCAATATTGATTAGCCATCCTTCAAAATAGAAATGTTCACATAAACGAACTAAAGCGTCACAAATTTCATTGATACGCTGATGATGATCTAAAATCCATAGAAGTTTTTGTGTTCCTGAATTCCCTTCCGTTATAAATGTCCCTATAGAAATTTAAATTTTTAAATAAGAATAAAAATTCAATTTTAAAAATATAAGAGTTCCGAATAATAATTTGAAATAAAAGATTTACCCAAAACTTTGACACCATGTAAATGTGCTGCATTTATCCAACCACAGGGCGGTATCGTCACATACTCATGGCTAAAATAATTAAAATAATCGATTGCAGCCCAATGATAGAATCGATAATCATCCCATTTTTTCGATGTTCTGTAATGCCTTAATTAAAAGAAATAAAAAAATTTAATTAATTTTTAATTTATAAGAAAATTTTAATTTTTTATGAACCGGTCATTATATTCAAATTTTAGAAAAACTAAATTGATGTAGACACTTACTTATCTTCCAAATAATTTCCCATCATATCATGGCAAAGAAGAACTTCAGGACGATTACCACGACCAGCTGCATTACGTATCGGTTCACCCATATAATTAAAATTTGGTCCAAGATATCTACATGATTGTTCATCTCTTGGTTTTAATGGTATTATTAAACGTTTCCAATCAATTGATCGACTCCTGACTTCGAATTGTAATAATTCGAAATTTGTATTAAGAGCATGCGCTTCTAATTTCGCATCTAATGAGGCCATTTTCGATAACAAAAAGAAAGTAGTGAAGAAAGAAAAATTGAGATTTGCAAATATTTCTTTTTTTAATGAAAAATAAAAAAAAAAATGTTTTTTTTTTGTTCTAATAATACAATTGTGGTTTTCTAATATGAAAGCTCTGCGTTAACTAAACATTTGCAAAAATTTAAAAAAATTTTTTGCAGGGAATCAAAGAACTTTTGTTATAATTTTATTAAAATTTTTTGTTTTTTTCGAATTAAGTGCATTTTATCTTTTCGAATATTGTATGTAAAGGAAATGCATTTTTATCATGAATAAAAAGAGCGTTGTTCAACCCTATTTTAAGGTTATATTAGAAAATAATGGTTTATAAGAATTAAGGAAAATGGTGTTTTATAAGAATTAGGGCAAAAATTTGAATATATTTGAATTTCTAGCTTGTTGTTTGCATTTCGAATTTTTTTTTTTAAAATTAGCCCGAAGTATCAGAAATAGTCCGAAAGAGGCCACTTTTAAACTTAGCGAAAATAGTGAAATACATTATTGTTCAACAAATCCTAATGTGGTGGATAATTTTTGCTACGAAACTTTATTAGAATTGCACACCTATTAAAACTCCTGGGTCCGAAAAGGAATAATCAATTGCAATTTGATTGAAATTTGGAAATGAAAAAGAATTTGGATTCCAAATTGGTTGGAAGACCACATCGGAATTTTTGCGGGTACATGTTAATGTCACAATCAATTTTTGGGTCATAAACTTCATCATTTTTTCTTCAATTCTAGTGAATTCAAATAGAAAATTTTAATTTATATAGAATTTAAAGTAAAATTACATACCTAAATATTACAAACGGGAAATTAAAAACGAAATTAATAACTATGCATATAATTAACTATGTTTACTTCTATAATTATTTTATTTTATGATAATTTTGTCGTCATTTTTGATTTAGATTGCGCTTGAACTAATTTTAAAATAGAAAAAAAATAACAAAATAAATATTGAGGTTTCTAATTTTTTTTTGTTTTTAGATTACTAATTTAGAATTCAAATTATATGCACGTTTTAATATTATTTTTTAAATTTTCTTGACAATTCTATTTTGACTGCGGTCGTTTTCAGTTCATTAGCATTGTATACATGCATACATTAACCCAATTTAATAATTTTACAATATTGTAGTCAAAATCTTTGAAAAAAAAAAAAAAATAAACAAGGAATAACTATTAGAATTTATTTAGTAAATAAAGACAAAACTGAATATTATTTTAATGTACATATGTAGCTATTTAAGATATTACTATACTGTAATAATTTAATTTTATTCCAGCTTTTTAACTACCTACATTATTCTATGCCTTACTATTCTTGCCGCACATTTAATAGACTCAGTTAATTCTTATAGATAAAAGTAGTTTTTTATAATTATAAAATTTTCTTAAAACTTTCTTGAAAATCTAATAAATATCTATATTTTTGAAAGACGCTGACCAATTTATTAACTGATAAGTCCATCTAACACTATTTCAGCATTATCCAACAATTAAAATTCGTATTGCGAAATAAATTAATTTGATATTAGATTTGAATTTTTAAAGAAGCCCATTATTCATTAGATATTTCATATATTATTTTTTATAATTCCTTTCATGTACCGATAGATGACGATAAAATTGAAACTGAATTTCTAAAAATTTTACTGTTTTGATCCCTATTCAATATTGCTTACCTGTTTTAATGTCATTATTTTCAAAAATTATTGTAAATTTATTTAATCAAAAAATTCAACTGCTCATTGGCACTAAGAAAAATTGCCAAATATTCTTATTTCTGAATATATTTTAAATTTATAATTTTTTTTAAAAATTAAAATTAAAAAATTAAAAATAATGCAAATTTTAATTACAATTGAAACTGCGAATTTAATTGAAATTTTTTAATTGACTCAAACTGTTGCTGCAACACGAACGATTTTTTTTTTTAAATAGCAAATAAAATTCACAATATAAAAAATTCAATTAACCAAACTATACACGTAATTCACAGTATAAAAATAAAATTAAAAATCTTTAATGGCTAATAATGCTATAACAGTTACTTTCAAAACTAAAAAAAAAAATTTTTTTTTTTCCTTTCACATACATACCACAACATTTCAAACTTCTTGATATTTCTGTAAAATAATTGTCATCAACAGCTGATTTCCATTGATATTTACAATTTTTATTATTGTAAATTCTGTATAATAAATCCTCTCTCAAATTTTCTAATGTCAAATTTGAAAGCTTTTTAATAATTGGATTTATAAAACTACCAAAAATAAATTCAGAATAAAAATGTTTTACGATTGTTTGTAAAATACTTTCCGCGACAACTGATAACATCGTGGTTAATTATTATTGAAAAAGAAAAAATAAAAAAAAAAAAACAACAACAACTTATTAATATTTTTTTTTCTGTTTGTGTTATTCAATTTTCGTTCATTAAATAAAAAAAAAAATTCTCAAATTTTTATTCGGAGGAAAAATAAGGCAAAAAAATTCACACATATACAAAAAAAAATCTAATCTAATCAGTTTGTAAAATATTCACAATAATTATATTTTTGTTTTTATTAATATAAAATCGGAACTGTGTTTGTTTGTTAACTTAATAAATAATTTTATTGATTTTAATTGAATTTAAATAGCTAGTTTACTTGTACAAAACTTGAGACAAATATTCATTGTTCATCACAAATTTAATAAGACAATATAAAAATTATTTGTTTTTTCCAATTCAAAATTTTTTTTTGCTTTCGTGTCACTTTATACACTTTATATTATATTGTACACATTATTTTTGAACTTATTGTTAATTTATTAAGAAAAAAAGATTTAAAAGCAAAAAAAAAAAAGCGGAGGTGTTGTAAAATCTATCTATCTATATATTTACAACACAACATACTACACTAATACAATACTACTTAAGTATATCCAATATTTTTTTTTAACCCTGTAATTATTAAAGCTTCTTAAAAGGGAAACAACAAAAAAAAATTTTTACTTAAAAACAAACATTGTATAAAATCAATAATTTTATAATTTACATAAAGTTTGTATATTTTTGATATATCATTCTCACTTTAAACTAAATACAACCGGAAATATAAGAAATTAAATATATTAATAATAAATATATAAAAATGTCTCAAGATGAATTACCACATGTAAATCCGGACGATTTAAAAGACTTAAAAGAACGTATGAGACTAATATCGGAAGCAGATCCAAAACAATATCATAATGAGTATTCTCTTAAACGATATTTGAGAGCTTTTAAAACAGTTGACGCTGCTTTTCAGGTAATACAAAAAAAAAAAAAAAATTCAATTCTATATAATATTAAAGTATAGGTACATATTATTTATATAAAATAAAAATATATACATATTCCGAAAAGTTATTAATTACAATCCATTCATTTTCAAAATTAATTGAATACAATTCCTAGATATGTATGTAAATGGGTATAATCAACCCATCTAAATATATATAAATACATGTACACACAATTTATATGTACTTTTGCTTACCTATTCAGCTAGCTATTAAGAATCATAAAATAATAAATTGCTAGCTAAAAATATTATTGTCCGGTATAAAACAATAAGATTGCTTTTATGGTATTTTAAATTTTAAATTTTCTACAATAACAAATAAATTGAATGATTTGGAAAAAAATGTCTTAATTCATTTATAAAAATAAATTTCTTTACTTAATAAATAATTTTATTTTTCTTTTTTTTTTTTTTAGGCAATACTTAAAACAAATAAATGGCGTGAATCTTATGGTGTAAGTAATTTAGCTGATTCTGATGCAGTTAAAAATAATCAAAATAAAGCTAGAGTATTACGGCATAGAGATTGTACTGGTAGACCGGTAAGTAATATGTAAAATGTACCGATAACACATAGGTGTAATAATGGATCTTATTTATTATCATTTTAACAAATATTTTTGTCATTTTATTACATTTATATATGATTAATATACACAAGTCGTTAATATTTTATACAACCGCGCCTATTATTTAATCAATTTTCAATTCAAGATAATTATTATTGATATTTATCATAAAGATTACAATGATTATAGTAAATAAGTAATATAATTAATTAGAATATTATTACGAATATATTCTGATAAATAATTTTTTAAAAAAACCCCAAATACAGATAAAAATTTGTAACTTCGTAAGCTTGAAAACGAAATTTAATAATAGATTTATGCTTATATCGCGTTCGAAAATAATTTTTTACGAATGAATGAATAAAAAGAAAGCCTTTGTTAATGTTTAATTTTGTTTATACAAAATAATTTGTTCAACACACATTGATTTTCCCTCACAAATGTTATTTAACTATTTTTTTTACAATGTATCCGATAGTAATATAAGGAAGTGAATTAATAAATATATTTAGGTCTCACTAAATTTAAATCTATTCTTAAATTTCGAATTACATTGTAAATACTTAAGCACATTGATTTGGACTTGTTTATTCAATTGAATTGTTTAAATTTAACAATACTTATCTGATATTGAAATAAATTTTGTGTAAAATTAGAAACTTTGAAACCAAAAACATACACTACTATTATAAACTAAAACCATACTTATTACTTACTTAAATTATAAACAAAATTTTTATTTAATTATTTATTTTTTAGGTAATATATATTCCAGCAAAAAATCATAATGCTTCTGAACGAGACATTGATGAATTAACAAAATTTATTGTTTATTGTTTGGAAGAAGCATGCAATAAATGTTTTGAAGAAGTCACTGATAATCTTTGCATTATATTTGATTTAACTGAATTCAATATTAATTGTATGGATTATCAATTGATTAAAAATTTAATATGGTTATTAAGTAAACATTATCCGGAAAGATTGGGTCATTGTTTAGTTATTAATTCACCAGGATTATTTTCAACAATATGGCCAGTTATAAGATCATGGTTAGATGAGAATACAGCAAAAAAAGTTATTTTTTGTTCAAATGAAATGGAATTATGTAAATATTTAATACCAGATATTTTACCAACAGATATGTAAAATTCATATTATACTCTCAAAAAGTTGAAAAGAAATTTTTTTGAACACATCAAAACATATTATGTATATGTAAAAAATAAATAATAGTATATTGTAACACATATTTAAAATATGCGCTAAATTCGAAATTAAGCTCAATTAACAATTATTATACTAATATGATGAAAAACAAAGAAAAAAAAAGCATCTAACTACATTATACTAACTATAGAAATAAACATAGTTTGTTGAATTTAAGTACAAAGTTTAAATAAACTAAATTAGGATTAATTTAGTCATTAGTCCAATACATAAATTTATAGAATTTAAACCAAAAAATTTTAATTAAAAAACGGCTGTTTATGCATGAAAGAAATTATTTTACATAAAATAATTTTGAAAGGATTATTAAAGTTTTTAAAAAATAATATTCATTCCGAGCTGGATTAAGTATATAAAAAGTAAAGAATTATTTAAAGTTCGTTCATTATTTTATTGTGAAGTAAGGTAAAACAATACAATATTTTACCAATTTTCGAATTCAAATTTTCAAGATGAATCTTAAAAATTTAAAAGTATTATGAAAAAGATGTTGAATATTAATTATTCTCTTACGCATCAATATTTAGAAGAATTCTCAAAATTTGAATCTAAATTCTAAAATAAATAAATTTTAAATTGTGCTAAAATAGAAAATAAAATTTTAATTGTTTTTCACAATTGAATTTAAATATAAATATTTTTATAAGATCAAATTAAAAATATAATTAAAAACAATAATTCTATTTGTTTCAAATCTGAAATATTTTCAAAAAAAAAAATATTAATTTTGAATTAATTTTAAATAAATAAATTTTCGATGAAAATCAAGGAATCTCTAAATTATTACTTCCATTCCAAGTTAAACTAAGAATTCCATTGAGCTTTAAAATTTTTATTTGGTAACTAAATTTTAAACAACAAAAATTTTTATTATAAAAATAAGAAATTGAAATTAGTAAAATAAATATTATATATTTTCAATACAATATGTTGTAAAGGTTGTATTATTAAGGGAATAATAAATTTCAGAAAAATATAAAAATAATAATATTATAAATGTCTATTAGTTAATTAATGTACGATTGTTAATTGGTAAGTGTATAAAATTAAAAAAGAAATATAAGAAAAAATTATATGAAAAAAAAAAATAATGTTGTTAAATGTATAAATAGCCACACAACAATAACATATTCTTACTTAATTTAAAACTGTGAGTTTTTTTAATATTATTAACAAATTTTAAAATTATCAAATTTAATTGAATATATTTGAAAAACACAAAATTTTTTTTTTGAAATTTAATTTCTAATTACAAAAGTACTAAAAATGCATATCCTAATTTTAAAATTAATTGTAATTCTTATAAGAGCCTAACTATTATCATTCCGTATATTTTGTTTCTTTTAATGCTTTTATTTTAATACACAATTTGAAATATACATACATATTTTTTTTTTTTTTTACATAACATTAAAGTAGTAAAATAAATTGGCTGTAATAAAAAAGAAAAAAAAAAAACTATAAACCCTAAAATTTTACAATTTATAAAAATGTAAAATAATAAAAATAAATAGATGAAGAACTAAAAGAAAAATTCTACCAAAAAAAAAATAGAATATTAAATAAACATTAATTTTCTAATACCAAATTGAAAATTTATTCAAATTGATGAAAATCAATAAAAAAACAAACAAAAATTAGTAGGTGTAAATTAAGAAAACAAAACCTAAAAAAAAAAACTAAAAGTAGCTAGTTGTATATTAACACATATAAATTTATTATTATTAAATACAAACTTGATTACATTATTTATTATATGTAATTATTATAATTATGTAGTTTAAAAACATCAAAATTTTAAAAATTATTCAATAAATTCTAATTGGGTATCGAAAAGAATTAAGAAAATAGAATTCCTTTCTTGTGTTGATCTTTGAAATTATATTTTTACTCTAGTATATTCAATATTATTTAAATTAATATTAAATCATGATTACAAATTTCCTTTGAAAGTGTGAAATTTTTACATCTAAACTTAATTCAGATTTTATAATCATTTATTTTAAATTAAATACATTTGTGTTATTTTTATAATATAATTGAAATTTAAAAATTTCTTATGGTATTTTTTAGTATAACAACAAATTATTTATCTTAAATAATTAAAAAAAAACATTATATTTCATTAAACTATTGCAAAAAAAAAAATTTGAATACACATTAGTAAATCCTAGTCCAATTATTAAAATTGTTAAATTTTAATGCAATTCCTTCCAAAAAATAAAAATTATATTCACTAAATTTTTGAAAACAAAAAAAAAAATTAATTATAGAACAAACAATATTAATCACGTTAAATTTCATGTATAAAATCACAAACACATTTCAATTTTTTTAAAATTTACCCTAGCTCTTAGACAGCATTTAATTAATATTAAAATAATTAATCAAGTTTGTAGTAGCCTTTAACGTTTATTTAAAATAAACCAAAAATGCTGACTTATGTACCTACTCTATATTTCTATAAATATATATATATATATAAATATATTAAAAAACAAGCGAGATTAAAATAATATTATTAAAAAGTGTTTTTATTGTTATACAAAGCAAAAAACCAAAAAAAAAAAAAAAATTATCAAAAAATAAAGTACTAAAATTATATTAAACTGCATGTAAACAAAAATATATATTATGTATTTAAAATAATAATTATTAAAATATATTATACATAATATTTGAAATTAATACCATAAATATATTAAATATTATATTTTGCGTTTAGAGAGTAATATCAATAGATAATATTATATAAAATTAATATATTATGTTGTGTACCTATGCGATTTGTAAAAAAAAATATGAAAATAAAAATTCTGTTTACTGCGTAAATTGATGATTTATTTCAAAATTCTTTTTTTTTTTTTGTATCTTAATATAATAAATTAAAAAAAAAAGAATTTTAAATGATATTAAGATCCATTAAATATCCCATTAATCGTTTGATTTTGTGTCCTTGTAAATTTTAGTATGACCTTGTTAATTTAAATAATTTATTGGAAAATTTGAGATTTACAATATGTGTTAAATTAATTTTACAATTTCAAAATTTTGAATGTTTAATAAAAGCCATTTAATTTGTTCTTTAAAAGAATATATAAAAAAAATTTAATTAAAATTAAATAAATTTAAATTTATTAATTTTTATCACTGAAATTAGTAAAGTTCCATAAAAAAAATGCTCAATTTAAAATTTTGTGATGATAAGCAAAAGCTTTAAGATCCAAAACAACTTAACTTTTGTAACAAAAGTTTTTCAAGTTCAAGTCATATATAAATTTAAATTTCATCCAATTCATCTTCTTCTGGGGGAAAATCACCAATTTCAATACATCCCGGAGCCACAAAACCTCCATATTTTTCTTCACATTCAAAATAACTTTTTCCATCAACCCTAAAATACAAAAAATATTTTTCTAACTATTTTCATATCCAAAAAAAAAATGATAAAAAAAGGTAGGTACTTACGATCCATTATTTGTTCCCAATGGTTCATCATATTTAACACCAATAAATATTCCCTTTTTACCTTCTAATTCACCATTATACATAACAGTACCAAGTCTAGTAGGTTTTCCTTTTACTTGAACTTTACATCTTGAACCAATTTTACAGGATTCTGCTTTCAATTTTTCTTCTTCAGCAGCTTGTTTCTTTTTTTCTTCAATTTTTTTCATTTCTTCTTCATTATATTTTCCCATTTTATTTTTTTTTAGAAAATTTTTTAAAGAATCTTCTCTTTGTTCATATTGTTGATCTGTTAATTCAAATTTTTCAACTTGTTCAGCAATAAAAATTATATCATTTGTTACATGAACTCTCATATCATCATCAATTGGATATGAGCCCAATAGTGCTTCATTGTTGTCTATTTTACAAACAAGTTTATCACCTTTAAATAATTCTAATTGCATACTACTGGCTGATCCACCAGTTATTATTTCAAGTTTTTCCTAATATTTAAAATACATTATTACAAAAAATTTATTATTTATTAATAAAAAAATGAAGATTATATTAAATTTTAAAAACAGATGTGTCTGGATTTAATTAAAACATATTTTTACATTATTTTACCATACTCGTAAAATATGTAGGTAGACACATTACTATTTTAGATACATATACCAACCTTAAACTCTAAAACAGATAAACTTTTTGGGAATCGTTTCTCAAACGAAACAGTATCATTTTTGGAATTAGAAATATTGATCTTTACGAAATCCGACATTTTTTTGTAAAAAAAATTATTTGTTTTTTTCTTTTGTAGGAGAAGGCAACTTGACCGGTACCCTTTTTTGTTTTTGTTTACAACTAATTTTTATGAGTCATTTGACATTTGACAACAAAAGTTTTCTTTATTTTCAGTTTCTTTCAAACTGTTTATGAGAAAAAATGTTGCCATTGTTCAATAATATTTTGGTTTAAATCCTAGGTGTTGAATATAAATTAAATAGGTTTGTCCAAGTTGAAAAGTGGAGCGAAAGCATATTAGAAAATTTTTTCAACTTAAACAAATTTGAGAAATTTGTATGAACATGCTAGAATATTTGAAATTAAAAGATTAAAGAACTGCTGTTCTGTAAATTTATAAATTTTCAACCACAATTGTTTTAGGAAGTTGGCAGACATGCAATTTTTAGTTTTGCATCTTTTTGATAACTTACTTGTATTTCATAGGTTTATATTTAAGCACGCACACATGCAACTGTATGTTCGCAAGCTATTAACCAGTCATACAGTTTATAATTTTTGACAAACTGATTTCAATTTAATAATTTCAAATATTCTAGTTACTGAAGTGAGTGGAGGGTGAAATTAATTTGCAATCAAACTGTAATTGCAAAACTAAAAATTACAAGTCTGCTTCCTCTCTTAACTATATATTATATTGCTTTTGAAAGTATAGTACCTATGTTAAAACTCCACACAGTGTTGGCCACCGTTTTCTGCAACTATTCATTTTTGGAAATCAAACAGCTGCATTGATTCTCAAATGTCAAAAGTTATCAAAATCTTCCAAAAAAAAGAAAAAATAAAACATAAAATTTTATTGTAGATGAATATTTCGCGAAAATAAAGCGTTTTCTTGAGTTAAAATAATCAAAATGTAAATAAATCAAAGGAAAATTAATTTTAAAATAATTGAATGCCGTAAGAATGACTTATATAGTCAAGAAAGGTGCCATAAAGTCTCTAAGTAAACAAAGAAACGAAATAATATTAAATTTCATCACATATATTTTGGTTACGGTCCTCGTCTTTGGGGCCATTGTATTTTTATGGGATTATTTTGGTAAAAACAATACAGGAGATAATTATAATGAAGAAATATCATTAGATATAAATCACATTAGTCAAATAACATTAGAAGATGATTTAGAATTAGCAAAATCACGTAACGAAAATTGTACATTTTGGACTTGTTTCAATGTTTACAGATGTGGTCAAAGAGAACAAGATCGTATATCAATTTATATATATCCATTACATGAATATATTAATTCAGAAGATAAAAAGGCTTTTGTCTTAACAAGAGAATACTATGAAATTTTAGAAACTATATTGGATAGTCCATATTATACACCGAATCCGAATGATGCGTGCATATTCATTCCAAGTATAGATACTTTAAATCAAAATTTAATCGACATAACCTTGGTTAGTAAATCTTTAGCAACTCTAAACTATTGGGAAAATGGAGAAAATCATTTACTTTTTAATATGCTTCCTGGAGCATATCCACAATTTAATACCGTAATGGATGTAAATACTGATCGCGCTATGATAGCGGGAGCTGGATTTGATTCATGGTCTTATAGAATGGGTTTCGATATATCGCTGCCGATTTGGAGTCCAACATTAAGAGATTTACAAATGCCAGTTTTCTCATATTCTAAATCACATGATAATTATTTACTTATTATTGGTCAACTTAATTTACTGCCGCAACATATACGTATATTAAGGGAAATTGCTACTGAGAATCCACACCAAGTATTATTTTTAAAATCATGTCCAGAATTGAATCTCAATAATGAAGGAATATTTAGTAAGGAAACAAGATGCAATCAAGTTATTGAAGACGAGAAACACATGTATCCTGATATTCTTGCAAAAAGTTCATTTTGTTTAATCAGCCGTAGTGTTCGATTAGCTCAACCAGATTTCCTTGAAATTTTATCACACAATTGTATTCCCGTAGTTATGATTGATAATTATGTTATGCCATTCAGTGACGTAATTGACTGGGACCTGGCATCAATAAGAATAAGAGAGGCTGATTTACATTCCGTGCTTGATAAATTGAAAGGTGTTTCAAAAGAAAAAATTTCTGAACTAAAAGCGCAAGGAACTTGGTTATATGACAATTATTTTAGTAGCATAGAAAAAATTACCGAAACATCATTAGAAATACTTAATGATCGAGTTTTTCCACATTTAGCAAAAACTTCAAAGCAGTGGAACAGTAGAGATATCTCAAAAACTGCTCAAAATCCTTTATTTTTACCTATTATCTCACCAAAATCACAAGGATTCACCGCTGTGATACTAACATACGATAGAATTGAAAGTTTATTTACATTAATACAAAAATTATCGGTTGTACCGTCATTACAGAAAATATTAGTAATTTGGAATAACCAAAAGAAATCTCCACCTCATCGTAAGTATTTAAAGAAAAATTAATTAAAAATATTTTATGTTTATATTCAATTTTATTAAATTTAAATTTTAGCTTCAATGTTTCCTAAAATTAGTAAACCGCTTAAAGTTATTCAAACAAGAGCAAATAAATTATCAAATCGTTTTTATCCGTATGATGAAATAGAAACAGAAGCTATTTTAACTATTGACGACGACATTATTATGTTGACTGCTGACGAATTAGATTTTGGGTGAACTATAAAATAAAATAATCAAATATTGTAATATAAAATTGATTATTTTTAATTTTAGATACGAGGTATGGCGAGAATTTCCAGATAGAATTGTTGGTTTTCCTAGTCGAACACATGTTTGGGATAATGTTACACATAAATGGCGTTATGAATCTGAATGGACAAATGAAATTTCCATGGTATTAACTGGAGCAGCTTTTCATCATAAATATTGGAGTTATATGTATACAAATGAAATGCCTGGTGATATTAAAAATTGGGTTGATGATCATATGAATTGTGAAGATATTGCTATGAATTTTCTGGTTGCTAATGTTACAAATAAACCACCAATTAAAGTTACACCACGAAAGAAATTTAAATGTCCCGAATGTATAAATAATGAAATGCTTTCTGCAGATTTAAATCATATGATGGAAAGATCTGCATGTATAGATCGATTTGCTCGAATATATGGAACAATGCCATTAAAAAGTGTAGAATTTCGAGCAGATCCAGTTCTTTATAAAGATAATTTCCCAGAAAAATTAAAACGCTTTAATGATATTGGCAGCTTATAAATTATTTTTGAAAAAAATACATAAATTATTAGAAAAAAACGAAAAATATATTCAAAATATAAAATATATATTTAGAAATTGAGATACGTTTAATTGGTTAAATTGATGAAAATTTATCGGCCAGTAAAAATGTAGCAGCAAATATAATAAATAATAAAATGAAAAAAATAATTTAGCATTATCTAAAATGCAAGTGAAATAAAATAGAATATAGTAAATAAATTTTACTGTAAAATTTAAATTTTTTTCATAATTTTAAGGGAAAAGTTTAGAGAAAACAATGTATATTTTAAATGTTTGTTTTAAAGCATGCTTATTATATGTTAAATAATATGTGTATAACGAAAATTAAATTGTAAATTTTTTAATTTAGATTTTAAGAACAAAATGGAAGATTATAAATTCTAAAATAACTTTTTTTTTTGTATAAATTTATATCTACATTTAGTTTTATTCTTTTATTTTATTTTTTTTTTTTGTTTATTTCTACAATTTGTTGTTTTTATATATATACAATTTTTATTTCTCTACTGAATTATTCGATTTTGTGTAAAAAAAGAAACTTAATAAAATTTTAAGTTGAAAATTATGTTTTTTTTATTATTGGAGATTAGATATATTCAATAGTCTTGTAGTAACCTATTAGCGATTTCTTAATTTTGAAATATACAATATTCAAATATATAATATGTATTCAACAAAAAATGTTGGAAATTTGAAATTTTTAGTGGACTACTTTCAAAGAAGTCTTACATTTTCATTAATTTTTAATATGATTATTATATTGCTAGAGTTAATTAATTGCCATTTAAGATTAGTATTCGAATATTACAAGAAATCTGTTCTATAAAACAAAAATTACCCTCTTTTAGCTCAGATTACTCTTAGATTTCATTTTCAATTTAAAGAAAAATTTTGAAAAAAAAAGGGAAACTTTTAATAGTAAAGAACTAAATATAACCAAACCAAATATAATATAAAAACAAATTACATATTGAGATTTACAATTCATAGAAATAAAAGCTCTTTTGTTATAAAAAGAAAAATAAAAGTTAAGGGTTTATTTTATTAGTATGATAATGTTTCATCATGAGCTCATAAAAAGAAAAAATTAAAGTTGGTGCACAAATTGTTTTTTTTTTTTTGTATTAGATAAGTTTAATATTATTATTATATATTATACTTTATATCTACATAGTTCTCATTTTACAAAGATAGACTGCAATTTTTCTAAATTTTTCAAATGAAAATTCTTTTATTTTTTCTTTCGATATCACCTGTTTACTAAATATGTTAAACTATTGGCCAAGTAAAGGAATTTTAACGCATGCTCCATATTTATATAAATACTTAGAAAATCAGGTAAGGTAGGAGCAAACTTAAAATTTTGCGTATACTTGGTCTTGGTACATTTACAAAAGAATGGTTTTATATAAATTTTAAAAATTAAATTTAAGTTATAGAAATGGAATAAAGTTTTCAAGTTATAAAACCGGAATAAATTTCGGATTTTCAATAATTGTGACATGCACTGTAAATTCTGAATTAAATGTCAAAAAAGTCTTTTGTATAAATACTAACTAATCTGTAGAAGCTAAATATTTTGTTTTTTTTTTTTGTAGATTTGTAACATATTTGAGTAGTTCTTTAATAACCAAGACCTTTCTATTAAGCTCTTCTTCTAATTTATAACATTTTTTTGCTGTAATTATAAAAAAAAACTTAAATAATTTTTAAGAGCTTTAAGTACAATTGTCATTTTCGAACATGTTATTTTTGCAGTTTAGATTTGTCAAACGTGCTTTAACTTACAACTGACTATAGAACGAGATCTATATTCTATCTATCAAATAGAACGAGAAAATCGTAAGTACAATACGGAAGTTTAACCTAAAAATTAATTATCAAAAAGTCAAAATAAAGCTAGCTCAGTAGCATAACGAAGACAAAATAAAACGTGCCCTAGAAAAAAAATTGTTTTCAAACTCTGATCTATAAGAGTGTAGCAGCTACTCTATTTACTGCAATTTTACTTAATACACTGCACACATAAATAGTATAACACAGGTTTTTGTTTACAATCTTAGGCCTCATCCTAATACAGAGATACAATATGTACTATATCCATACAATATGTAGATAATCCATACAATATGTACTATACATTATTCACAATCTATATACATAGATAAAATACCCACATAAGTATTGCATAAACAATAAACTGAAAACTTACCCTAATTCTTTTTTTTTTTTGTTATTTCGATTTTTCTCTTTTGTACCTTAATTTCTTACGTTCACAACGCATAAAATAACCAAAAATATTAAAAAAAGAAAAAAAAAACAAATTTTTTTAGTCTCTTTTATTTCTCTTTTAATTTGTGTTCTTTTGGAAAATGAAAGGAAAACACAAGAAAACCAAGAAAATAGACACTGAACTTTACCTTGTGTAACGGGAAAACCAAAGAACAGAACAAAACTAAGAAAGGAAAACAAAAGAAAAACAAAAACAAAGTATAATTTTCGCATAAATGCATGCACAAAACCGTTATATTGGTTTTTTTTTTCATTCTGTATTTTGTTTTTCTTCTCTTTCTTTTGTTTTTTTTTGTTTTTCTATAGATTTTTTTAGACACTCTTACTGCCGTTAAAATTTTTCTTCTGTATTATTTTTTTTCTCATATTTTTTTTTTTTCTTGTTTTTCTTATTTTTTTTTTTTTTTTTTGTATAACAAAAAGCTTTATCGGTTTTCAATTGAAGCTCAGTAGAAAAATAGCCCCGGTCGTGTAAAAATCTTTAATTTAATTTTTATTAAAGAATTTTTTTATATTTTTTAATTTTTCATTATTAAAAAAAAAATTTATTTTTTTCCAGTTCTTTGTTTTTTTTTTTTTTTGGAATTTTTGCCAGTAGTTATTTGGTTCGAATTTACAAATGCATATGATGTGAAATTTAAAATAAACAAAAAATAAAAATGATTTCCGAATTAAGGATTTTTGTTTTCCATTAAAATTAAAGAACTAGAAGAACAAGAAAACAATGAATTTTTAATAATTATTTAAAAAGAAATGAATTTAATATAAAAAAAATTTTAAATGTATGGTGGTATTAAAAAATTTTATATGAATCTGTGATTATTATCCTTTTCTTAAATATCCTTTATATGTATTGTGTACCTATATGATAAAATATAAAATAAGTGAAAAGAAAAATCGAAAAACATTAAATTTAAAAAAAAAAAAATAAAATATTTTTCCAATAATTTTTTTTTTTGAATTTTTTCCGTGCGTCCTGTTTATCGGTGTGTGTCTGTCATTTTTAGTGTGAATAAATAAAAAAAAAACAAATTCTTTATTAAATAAAAAAAAGTACCGCAAATTATACAACAAAAAAAATTTTTGCATAATATTTGGATGTGCATATTACGGTCATTATGGTATGTAGGATATTGTGTTAAATGCAATTTTATTGCACAGTGTTGGTGAATAAAATTGTTATTTTTTTAATGTTAATAAATTAAATAAAAAAGAAAGAGACTAAAAACTGAAATTTTCATTAATTATTAAAAAATAATTTATTTTTATTGAAAAAAAAATTATGGAATTAAAATCAAATTATAAAGCCGGAAGAGATGAAAATTCAAAAATATGAAAAAAAAAATGAGATAAAATAGAGTTGGCCGTGTCAACTCTGTGATACCCGCACGAATTTGTTATCCTATGTGAGAATAATTTCAGTACTGTGTTTTCCAAACTACAGTGTGTGCCAAACTAATATTAAAGTTGTATGGCAGCTACCAGAAGGAGTCAAGCAATTATAACGACATTTATCAGACACATTGGCTCTACTAATATATTCGCTTGTGATGAAATTTCAATACCACAGCTTTTATAGTTTTTATAAGATATAATCAAATAAATTTTGAAGATGTATGGCAGCTACCCGAACCAGTACTTTGATCATGTCCAATTTAAATAGGGTTCTGACATTTACTTAAATATAATAAATCATTTGTGAAAATTTGGTGAACTTAGCCCAATTTGATTTTGAGTTATCGTTGGGACGGACGGACGAATGGACATACACTTGAGTCTATATCTAAGGCCGTTATTTCTGAGCGTTACAAACAGTAAGGTAAATTTAGTATAACCTTCGAACATACGTTCGTACGGGTATAATAACAAAAAAATTAGGACAGAGAAGAGTTATAGAGAAATATTAAGTGCCTTAACGATGGTATAGATACAAAAATTCATTGGTTGAAATGCAACTATTGTACAATTACTTTTTTCTTGTTCTTCTTTTTGTTTTTATTCTAAGATTAGAGTAGAACATGTCGGAACAATATTTTTTTTTATGTTTTTTTTTTTCCCCCCCCCCAATTTTCTTAATAAAATATTGTGCTTAAATACGTACGTAAACGGGCTTACTAATAAATTTCCCATACTTACCGATATTTTTTTTTATAATATTAAGAATTTGTGTAGGTGTGTAATATTATGACGACCATACACTTATTATGCATTCTAGTTATGAATTTATTGGAAAAAAATAATAATAACAAAAAAAATAGTATAAAATTTGTAATGTATAGCTTGTTTTAAAAATTATAACCAAAATTAGAAATTTCACTTTTGAATCATCAACTATGAGAAGAATTTAAGTATTTGGAAATATACCGGAAGTATATTTTACTAAAATATTCTATATTAAATGTACTAATATTACTAGTATTTACTTTTATTAAAAGAAAATTTAATTGAAAGCAAATATAAAATTTTCGTATTAGAAATTATTAGTTTTATGTTTGTTAAGAATTTAAAGTGTGTACATGAATCACTACTAATATTAAAGAGAACAAAGAATGAATTTATAATTATTATTTCTTTTTTATTAATTCTTGAGCTTATTTATGGTTTCAATATTTAAAAGAATTTGTATTTATTTTTTAAATAAGTTTCTTATTCTTTCTAGTAATTGATATTTTAGTATTAAATATAAATTTCTTAAAAAAAAATTTTTTAATACCGTATTTCTTCTAGACCGTAAATTGTACGAGTCTGAAATTTTAACAGCTATTAGACACTAATAAATAGTTTATTTCGTTAGATGAAATTTTTTTTCCACCACCATTTCTTTTCAAATTATCACCCCTTGAAATTTGCAAAATTTGAATTTTTAGCACCTTGTATTTCCAAAATTGTAAACGCTATATTACAAATTTCTATAAATACAGAAAACTAACGGTATAATTGCAATACCATTAAAAAAGTATAATTATTTTTCTTAAATTACGCAATTAACCCTTAAATTCGAATATTATGTTAACCATTCTCTTTCAATTTTATTTTTTTTTTTCCTCATCCTAAATGTATGCAATCTTTGAAATATTTTTTGTATAAGAATGAAATTAATTTAAATAATAACGTAAAAGCAAAATAATTATACCCGTACGAACGTATGTTCGAAGGGTATACTAAATTTGCCTTACCGTTTGTAACGCTAAGAAATAACGGTCTTAGATATAGACTCAAGTGTATGTTTTTGATCAGCGTCAAATTCTGAGTTGATTTAGCTTTGTCTGTCCGTCCGTCCGTTCTTCCCAACGATAACTCAAAAACTAATTGAGCTAAGTTCACCAAATTTTCACAAATGATTTATTGTAGTAAGTGCCAAAACCCTATTTGAATTGGACATGATCGGAGCACCGGTTCGGGTAGCTGCCATACAACTTAAAAATTTATTTGGCTATATCTCAAAAACTATAAAAGCTATGGTATTGAAATTTCATACAAACGAATTTATTAGTAGGGTCAATGTGTATCATGAAAGTTGTTGAAATTACTTGGCTCCTTCTGATACTTGCCATACAATTTCAAAAGTTATTTGGCTATATCTCAGAAACTATAAAATCTATGGTATTGAAATTTCATACAAACGAATTTATTAGTAGGGCCAATGTGTATCATAAAAGTTGTTGAAATTACTTGGCTCCTTCTGGTACTTGCCATACAATTTCAAAAGTTATTTGGCTATATCTCAGAAACTATAAAAGCTATGGTATTGAAATTTCACACAAACAAATATATTTGTAGGGCTGATGTGCTTGATAAAATTCGTTAAAATTTCTTGGCTCTTTCTGGTAGCTGCCATACAACTTCAACAGTAGTTTGGCACACACAGTATTTTGAAAAATACATTGTACTGAAATTTTGCATAAATTAATATACGGCAACTTAAAGTCATAGTCTGTCCCATAGTCAGTTATTTGCATCTTTATTCGCACATCTAAAATATTTTACTTGAACAGTTTAAATTTATATTATAAAAGTTTGAAATAGTTTTATACAAATATTAGACACAATATAAGTATAGTTATAAATTTTTAATAATTCTGTCATAAATTTCATGATTGCAATCAATTCTTGATACTCACTTTATCAGTACATATTGGAAGGTTAACGTTTATCTATACATACAGACATAATTGAAGCTATGGAAGTTAGTTAAATTGTAATATAAAAATTATGATTTCTTAAAGAAACTAAGGGAAAATACATTAACAATGGTTGAGTTTAAAACAAAAATTTCCAGTTCTTTAAAACTAGTATGAAGAAAATGTTTGATTATAGCTAAAATGTTAAAATAAATAATAAGTACACATACATTTTTACAAATGTAAAATCTCTTTTATTTATTTTAGTTAAATTATAACATTAAACTGATTACAATAAAACTTTCTAGTAGTTTTTATTTTTACTCTAAATATTAAAAATATTTTTACTTTCATAATAGCTATGTAAAATTAAAAATGTAAAATATACAAAAAAAAAACTGGAAAATTCTCTTCTTTATATACACATACACACATAAATCAATAATTATAATCACAAATTAACTGATTTATATTTACTTACAGTTATGTTGCAAATATATTTTTATTTATACTGCAGTATTTACGAGTAGTTCTTACAAAACAAACCAGAATAAATTTTTACGGGGTTAAAAAAGTAATTAAAAAAAAAAAAATTAGCAAAACACCGAATTTTTTGTTTAAAACTTGATTTATTTTTTTTTTTTTGGTTTTCTTATTTTTAAAAATATGCGAATATTAGGGTACTAATAGAAGTTCACAATAAAGTTATCCTATTATTTATTGCATGTATGTATGTGGATTATCAAAAATTTTAAATCGAAAATAAACAATATACAGATTATTCACTCATGTTACGCATATTATGTATGAGTAAGTGTGTGTAATTGCAGTAATAGATGCAAATTCCAATAAGTGTTATACATGTATAAAATTTTCAAATTAAGTTGAAAAAATTTCGTTCTAAATATTAAAATTCGTTGTTTGATTATAAAAAAAAAAACATTATAAAAATTATAAAATTTAATCAAATGTTAATTATAATTTTTGAGCGCCCTCTTATAACGTAACTGTCACGTTAGATCGTATCGCATAATACAAACGGGCAATGGATTTAAAAGTATGTTAAGCTACTCGTACAATTAAGTAGTTCTATAAATCTAGTATAATCATGTGTAATACGAAATAATTGAAAACTGCACTATATATAACATGAGTAATATGTGCGGCTCATGTGCGGCTCATGCATATCGTATGGCTCATTGAATTTTTATTTAACCTGTTTTTTTTTTTTTTAAATTAATAATATTAAAGTTGCAAGCAGAATTAAGTGAATTGTGTCTTATTGTATTTTAAGAAATAAATTAATAAAAAAATTGATATTTTAGAAAATTTCTATTACGATATAAACTTAATTATAACTAAAATTCGATTGTAATTTTAACTAAATAAATTCTTATTAATTAACATAATTAATTTGTGAATATATTTTATACAATTGATGAAAATGAATATTTTAAATTTCAAATGAGGCAATTTAATGGCGAATTACAAAAGTGTGCAAATCTACACCATAACTATTTACAATAGTCACGATTAATATTACAATTTATATAATTAAAATCAAATTTACAAAATCGAAAATGTGTCAGGAGGAGGAGGTCAAGATTATTTCAAAAAGAAATTCTTATACAATTTAATTAATACAAATTACAGTTAAATAGTTTTTGTTTTAAAAATATTTTCATAATCAAATCATTCAACAGTAAAAAGGTTATTAACATTTTTATTAAATAATTAATTGTTATTTCAAATTAATTTTTAATTTTTTTTTTATTACACGAAAATTGATGTAAAAAAATATTAGTAGGTATAGGTAGGTACCATATTGAATTTTAAATTTAGATGTTCTGCTCTATTTATTAGAAAAAAAAATGAACAATATTGAAATTTTATCGCGCATTCGAAAATCAAATACAATTTATTGTTACGATATAAACATTACGTTCTCGTATTGAAGAAAATATCAAAAAAAAATTTCATGCGATTTTTGAGAGAAGCATGAAAATTTAATTTTTGACACTTGATTGCTGTTATTATTGTGTCATGAAATTATTAACAGGCATAGCAATGCAACTGGATCAAAATACGAGATTTAAATAAATATTTTTCTAATTTTGTGCAATTTTTCTTTTTATTGCGTCACATAATAAAGAAGTTTGTATATATTTATAAAATTTGTATTGTAAAATGTTAATATAAATTTGATGTCGGGGATTTATAGGACTACCTAATTAGAGCTTAATATATTTTCAAATCCATTGCATATTTCTATTATGCGATACGATCTAACGTGACAGTTACGTTATAAGAAGCGGTCAAAATTAGAGTAGTATAACTTCAGAAATGATATTTCAAGATAAATTCATATTTTGAATTTTCCGAAAAATTTTTCTTTAAAAAATGTGGGCTCAATAATTTTATGTATGTTTATATGTATAGAACTCTGATATTTGGCAAATATATTTTAAGTTTTGTTTACCTGTATGTATTTAAATAATTGAGATATTTGAAAATTAGAAAATAAGAAGAATGAGGTTTAGACTACTATTTCAACTCACCGTTTGGATGTGTTTACAAAACTTTACACTAAAAATGTTGTTCTATTGACTGTTTTTTGTTAATTTTTTCTTTTACAAACCAGGGCCATATTGCATGAATCATGTTTTGCTTTTTCTTAATCAGCTAATCAAAAAATTTTGCAAATTTTCTGTTGCAACAAGAGTCAAAACACTCTAATGAACTATATTTAATTAAAAAGTACTTTTTTTGGAAAAGTTAAAAAGTAAAAGCAGAACTAAAAGTAAAAGTGGTTGGTACAATACAGCCCTGGTATTTAAAAAGTAAAAAAAAAAGTTAAACTTTATTGTTTTTACCAATGTAAATGTCAGGAGTCTTACCATTTTATTTTGAATTAATATTGTTTCTAATACTTATAGTTTTAATGCTTCGATTGTTTAGAAATCGAAAATTTGTAAGTTGAACACATTGCTTTTGAGCGTTTACTTACACCTAACTACCTATATCAGTTGATATAAGCATTTGATCAGAATAATTTCTATAGTAATTTATAATTTATTTTGATTAAATTTAAATTTTTAATTAATTTCATATATTTATATATGTGGGGCTCTTCAAAGCTTAATTAAATTGAACAATTTTTTAAAATTAATTATTCATACGAATATGTGAGGTTTATTAAAATCCAAAAGAAAAAAAAAATTTATAAAAATAAATAATTTTTTTTTATAAAATAATTATAATTGCAAAATGAATTAAAAATAAAAAATGAAAATTTCGTTCCACAGTAATATTTTATTAGAATCGCTACAGTGGCGAATTTATTGAATTTCTTCTTGATTTTATTTAATAAATAAATTTATTAAAAATCTAATTGAAATTCATTTTATTACGTAGGTGAATACGAAATGCAATTATATCGTAACGATTTATCGTAATATATCGTTAAACAAGTTATTGCACTAAAATAATATTAAATTGTTGTTGAAAACGTGTCAATTTTATTCAGACTAGCTTAATAGACTAAAATTTTGGATTATTTTTTGTATTTTAATCTTGGCGTATAAGTCAAAATATCGTAAACATTCAAAAATAATTAGCCTTTAAAATCTTAATAATTATTCTCACATTTCTTATCTTTTCTTTTAAATAATTTTCTCTATTCTGTTTTCGGATTTATTTTGATTTATTTTGTAATCAAACGCAATTCATAAAATTGAAAGGCAGTTTTGTATTTAAAGAAAGCCCTTGCATATAAAATACATATAAAGATAATTTACATAAACATGTGTACTTTAATATTGCATGTGTGTGTGCGAATGTGACAGGATAGAATTTTGTTAGTTGTTAATTTGCATTCTATTTTATATGTCTTATATAATAAGTAGGTATTATTTTCATCTGCATTTAGTATTATTTTCTACATTCTTTGCCTATGGGTTATATCTGATTCGAATGCTATTTTAATAAAACAATGCCGCATTTTCAACTTTGTCCGACCATCCGTCCGGTATATTAGAAACTCTAGAAACATTTTTTATCTATATCGCAAAGTCCTTAATATTGCACTTTTAAACGTAGAAAAATAGTGATATTTTTCTTTTGTCGTGGGGCCAAAATCCATTTTTTTTTTCAAAGTTCCGAAATTATTTTTCTTTAAGACAGTAAGTTGTAAAAGTATTATGTTCTAGCAGCCTTTAAAGGTTAACAAATTTGTAAAAATTTTCGGAAGCCTTTCTGAATTTCTATGAAAGCAAAGAAATCATGGTAAATGTCATACCATCTAAAAATGTGATATTACTCACATGACTTAAATGTGACTTAACTCACTTGCCAAATTCAACGCAACGCTTCTTTTAGTTTTTTTTATCATATTAAATGTATGCAATAAATTAATGAAAGTAATTTAAGTAATGTAGTGAGAAAATTGTTTTTAGAAGCAGCTTACTCAATTGTTTAAGGCAAAAGTGCTATTTTACGAACCAAATTGATTTGATCCAACTTTATCGAGCATTTCAACCATTCACATGAATTTCAATAATTTTGTTTTCCCTCTCTGTGAATATTGATTTAATTTATTCAAAATTATTTTATGATTTTAAATTATTTAAATTTAAAAAATTTCAAGAATTTCTATTGCGATCGATTGTCGAAATATTTGCTACCTATATCATATATTTTGAAATCACTGTTGCTTATTTTGTAGTAGTTTCTAAGTCTTAAGAGAAAAACTTGCCGAAAATTTTTGATTTAATATTCTTAATGTTTTAGCGATAATCAGGGCAATATTACGGAAATACTTTTGTTTGAACAGACTTTAGCAAATTTATTTAATTTATTACAATTTGCAAATCAAAACATATTTATTTTATTTTTATTCAAATTTTTTGCATTTTGACAATTTTTCAGAAAAAATGTAAATAAAAAATCAACAACATGTACTTAAAACTTCAAAAATCATAAATTAAAATGAAAATTTCAAAAATAATTAAAAGGACCTTCACAAATTAAAACAAAATTCATCTAATTTTTTCTAAATGTGTGTATGTAAATTAAATAATAAATTTTAAATACCAAATATATAATAAAAATAATATGAAAAATAATCTCATTAAATTTTATTACAATTTTGAAGATGTTTCAATAATAATAATTTTTATTAAAGTGATAACAAAAATAATATTTTAAAATTCACATTTAAATTAATTTATAGAAATAAAAATAATAAAAAATTATTAAAAAGTTTTAAAAAAAATTTTCATAATTGAGAAAGAAATAATAATAATTAAAATAAAAGAAAAATGGTAGTTTGGTGTTATATTTTAGCTAGTATACTAGGAGTTGTTATTGGAACCTATCTCCTATTGGAAATTCATTATTTTATAAGAATAGCAATCAGTGTGTTACTAGCCAGATATGTTAAGAAAAGAATACGTATTATGGATACTGCAATATTTACAAGTGAGTATAAAAAAAAAACTTAAATTTATTTAAATGAAATAAAATTTCCTATTTACGATCTTAGATCCTAGTGTATTAAGAAGGAAATTTAAACTAAGAAAAATTAAATATACGAGTATAAAACTAGTTCGCAGCGAAATTTCTACCATACAATAAACTAAACTTATTTAATGGTATACGTGTAAGAGAGTTAGTAAGCCTAACTCTAATACTAGCCAGTAAACAGAGACGCCATTGCAAACTTTAAAAAAAAATTCTAAAAAAATTAAAAATTTTATTCAGTTTTCAGCGCATTTTATTGGAAACCGCGTAGGCTGCCAGACCCAGGCTAAGTACGCCTATGTGGATTTTAACTAGTTTATTATCCAAAAGATCGCAGCAAAATTTCTATCATACAATAAACTGGACTTATTTACCAGCTTATGTGTAAGAGAGCTAACAGCGATAGGCCTAGTACCAGGCAATATGTTAATATTCAAGGATGTATAGAAGAAATAAATGAATTTTGTAAATACTCGAGTTTTGCACCCATTGTATTTTTGCTAACTAACAAATTTAAAAACTTGAGTTTTAATATCTATTGCTTGTGTATGAAATTTATAATGAAAATATTAAAAATTTAAATTACAAGAATTTTAAACAAAAAAAAAATTGTTATTCTTTTAACATACATATTTACATATATACCTACATAGTTCTCATCTTATATAATATTATATTATGACATTAATTTTTAAGAACATTATTAAATCATTAAAGAAAAAGTTTATGACATTAAAATTCTAAAACTAATCATTTAATTATATCTACATACAAGCTGTCATACTTATACTCGTATACATAAAGATAGTTTAATGGACGTGTAAATATTTATTGTCATTATAAAAATGTGTTATATGATTACGAAATCTCATAACAGTAGTGTATATATATTTTCTTACATACATATGTATGTATATGTGTATCATATTTCATTAAATATTATAGAAATAAAGGTTACGCATTATAAAATTTAATATAAGAAAAATATTTCATTTAATAAGAAATATCGTATTAAAACTTCATTTAACTATAAATAATTTTGTGGTTATAAGGAAAAACTTTTTAATTTGATTAAGAGGCTTCTGGTTCTGAAATGTTTGACATATTATGTGATATCAAAATACCAAGCATCACTCTTTTCTAAGAGTGACCAGACATCACTTCCAGAACACTAGACATCACGCCCAGATTAGCAACATGTAAACATAGGTCCTTAATTGACGATTAAAGGGAAATTTATTGGAAAATGTTTTTAATTATTCTGATTTCGACTTAAGTACCTCTGAAACTTAAAATCCTCGGTCCAATGCTGATGTGATGCACACGCCATTTTGGTGTTTTTGGAGTTAACAACACTTTCGCGGGAAGTGTGGTCTTTCAGCTTGCTTTGGAAGTGCTATTGACTGCCGCACACACTGTATATGCAAGTTGTTTGTATTACAACAAAAATATTAAAAAAAAAAATTATAAATAAATTAAAAATTGATTTAAAAATATTTTTTCCCGCTTTCCCTTCATTCCTCGTAACTCAATTTTTCATTGTTTAATTTATTAAAAAAATTATTTTTATGAAAGATTTTTGGTTAATAAATTAAAAATAAATTTTTCAAAAACATTTTATAATAAATTTTAATTAATTAAAAACGATTTAAAATTCTTCTTTTTTAATTTTTCATCAATATAAAAATTGAATGAAATGAAGGGATGTGTTTTTATAATGCCCCTAAAAGTAGGCAAATACAAAAATTTTTCGTTTGCATGCACGAGTAATGCTCATTTACATTCATATGCAGAAATTGTTCAGCAATATTACGTAATTTTAATGAGGTATAGTTATGATGACCATTTATGAAAATTTGCTAACAATTATTTTAACAATTATTTCTAATATAAAAATATGCAAAAGATTTTTAACATAGGAAAAATTTGTGTACATGAAGACAACAATTTTGATAAAAAGGGCGTCTAGTTTTCCTTACTTTCTCATAATTTTTCAAATTTACTCAATTTCTTATTGCTTCATAACTACTCGTATAACTGTTTTATTAAATATTGAGAGCGTAAATATATACTTACTCTTTTAGAAATTTTTTATGCACATAGTTATTTAAATTTAAAAGAGCGCCCAAAAGAATTACTAAGTGGGTTTATCTTAAGTTCTTGAACTTTAACTTTTGTTGCTCTTTAAATACATTCACAATAGACGTTATACTTAATCCTCTTCATCTTTAGGTTTTTTTTTTACAATGTAAAATTATTTTATCAATTTGGAGTATTTATTTATTTTAAATGTTCCATTCAAAAATGAAAAGTAATTCAAAGAGTGCTTTTGGCAACAATAGCAATTCTTATTTTCCCTCTTATGCTGTTGAAGTAGAAATAGATTCATAGAATTTTACCGCCATTTTAATTTTACAACAAAAAATAAAACTTTTATTGTAAATGAAAAAAAAAAATATAAAAATTTTCTTTTTATTTTTTTTTTTAATTTCATTTTTCTTTTACATTTCAATTTATTTACAATTTTGAATGTCAAGGTTACTTGGAATGACGGTCGGTAGGAGGTTTAGAAATTAAAATTTTATAACATTTTTCTGTTTTTCTCCATATATGTACGTTATATACAAATAAGTATAAATGTGTGTACATGTGAGTATGTTAAACAAAGCGTATGCTTTTACACATTTCTTTTATTTAAACAGAAAAAGCAAAAAAAAAAACAGAAAAACTTGGCACACGTTTGATATTTTCAATTTTTCTTTTATTGTGAATTATTGTGGGATTTTTCATATAATATTTACATTAGGCATAATTTGGAAAATAAAGAAAACGTTAAATTTTTGCAAATTATTTTGCAATTTTACAATTATGCGGGAGTAAGAATATTTTCTTGAAGATTATCATATTACTTGTGTAGGCTTCCATGTTTTTGCTCACTTACTTTATGAAAGCAATATTATTTATTTACTTAATTTAACTTCAGGATTGAAAATTATCATTTCAATTTTACATGATAATTGATTTTCTACATACTGCTGTAGATTGTATACCAATAAATTTCCGACTAAACTAAAATATTATATCTAATAATTTTATTATTTTTAGCGAATATACTAAATTTACTTTAATTTCCCTATAACAATTAGATTATAGTTCTAAAAATTCTGAAAACATTATTACTTTTATATAAAAAAAACCCATGAAATCTAAAGCCAAAAATCAGAAACTTGGACATTTTCGATTGCAAGAACATGCGCCATGCAATAAATTTTCGACGAAGAGTAATAATTATTGAGAATCCTTTGAATTTGAGTAATTGAAATATTGTGAATTTTCGCTAATATTTGACAACAAACAGTTTAATTTAAATCTTTTTAAATTTATTTTTGTTTTATTTCAAAGGCTGCATAAATCGTTCATCTTAAGTATATGCAATTTGTGAAATAAATTCGTATATGAGTGATAAGTAATTTTAATAATATTGTATGATATAATAATATTGTACTACATCGCTAGATTGTTTTTTAAAACAATATTTTCACTTGTGGAAGAGAAAAGTGCTACATTATAACCAACCATATTGGTTTGATCCAACTTCATGAATCTTAAAATCATTTTACTTAAGAGGAGTCACAACTTTCAATTTTAACTGTATTATATTGTACAATTATATTGTACAATATTGCTAAATTCTGTAACTTATAACACATTATTAATTATTATGCATAGGTATTGTACGTTTGCAATGAATGAGCAGTAGTTAAAGTTAGAGGTCATGAAAAGTATAACAACTAAAATAATTATAGTTATTTCAAATGTCATCTTGAATATAGGAAAGAAATTTTTTAATTTTTCCACTAAATTAGCTTTCTGAACATGTATACGATAAACACACTGAACATGTGTAATATAGTAACTGTTTAGTATATATATTTCTCATATTATTTCATGGTAATCACTTGAAATTATGGAAAGAACTCTGGTGGAAAAATATAATATTAAAATTAGATTAAATGTAAATTTTTGAAATGATATTTGATTATTTTTAATTTTAATATTAAGTGAGTAAGCTACAAGTAAATAAATTAAATACTTAAATTATAAAAATTAGTTAAGCCACAATGTTTACATATTTTGTACTCATTACATATAAGAACCAAAGAACCATATTATAACTGAAATACACCAAAAAGAAATACCAAAATTCAAAAACCATATCGGAATACGTCCTTCAAATTGTAAATATATTTTATATGTTAATGGTCAGTTTAAAATTTAGAAATCAAATTCTTTTTTTTTTGATTTTAATGTAATTTAAATTACAGTAATCAGCAGCTTTTTTATAGTACCGTTATGTGGCAGTTATGTGCATAATATTGCGTGTAAAATGCAAATCTCACTTACAAAATTTAATAATGTTCAGCAATTAATAGTTGCGGTTGTTATTTTATTCTTAATTAGAATTATTTAATTAGAATTTATATTGAAAGAATAAAAAAAAATTATTGTTCGATGTTTCCATATGATTGGCAATTATTTAAAATAAATTGTAGATGTATCCAAGTCGTAGAATTACTCTATCCTACCCTACTCTTTAAAATTAGCGAAATCTTAAATGCAGATAGGTGAAAAGGGAAAGCATAGTCTTCATAGGAAAACGGACTACGATCTCAATTTTTCTAAATAAACCTCTCTGTCAGATTTTGTAAATACATAATTTAGTTTTGAACTTCATACCTAACGTTACTCTAAAAACTTTTCAACGTATGTGATATTAAAATAAGGATTGAAATGGAAAATTCTTACTAAGAAAAAATTCTAGTTTGTCTGGTTGACACTTCGTTAGAAGGAAATTTTCAATGGTTTTAAAATTAGTTTACCACACTACCTCTACCTCTTCCCATTATATTTTTGGAATTATATTACGAGAAATAAGAAAATATAGAAAGTCTTTTCTT